CTGGAGAAGGAGAGGGGTTTGACGGGATTACTCTTCTGTGATCTTTTATCATCTCTTCCCCCTTCTCCTCTGTCTGATCCCCCTCCACTCTCTTCGTCTAATGGTAATGAGTTATTGTTTGATTTATCACTTCACGATTTGGAGATTCTGTTGCAGGTACTGAGACTACCTGTGTTTGACGACTTCTGAGTATCTACTAGACTGGGTTCATTACAATTTGGTATCGGAGCTAACTTCTTCATCGCAGTTCGCTGTCTGCTGTCAGGTGCTGACGTGGCACCCAGGTAAGTGGGAATTGCCGCATGTGCAAAATGAAACGCGTTTATTAACGCGCGTGGTAAATACCGCAGGTCTAGACATTGTAATATTGCACATGCGAGCAGCTGTCCTTTGAAGATGATGACGTGGCTGCATTGAAGACTTACACTGGCGAGAGCTTCGTTGGCAACAGGCTGACATGGCACCGGTACCGCTGATGTGGCATATGATGGAATGCAGGGCGTGGTCTGATGTGGCACGTACCTGTATCGTTGTTACCTGCTGATGCTGCGTTTGACGTGGCATACCAGTGTTGAGTGTGTAGCAGACCTGCATTGCAACGTGGCATCCCTCCTTGTAGACCGTCCCGGTCCTTGATGCTGACGTGGCGGTACTGCTGCGTTGGCATGCCAGGGGTGACACGTGGCATGCACACAGGCTGCTGAGAGTGTGAGTGTGCACTTGTTGTTGATGATTGCATTGCTTCTGCAGATGGTAGAAAGGAGGCTAACCATTGATTGTGTGGTCGTGTTGGCTCTCTACTTACCTGTTGATTGTCTGTGGTTGCTGTGTGTACTTACAAGTGTGTTGTTGTCTTGATCACACTAGCCGTGGCTGCGGTACCTGTAACTGTAGGGCGTCATCACACAGAAAACCGACAGCAAAGTTACGATAGAGAAATTGATTGAGAACTCATTTCTTTTGTTGATTATTCTTGCTGTAGAAGTTGCGTGTGCTGTGGAATTTATTTTTGTCTTTTGATTTTGTTTATTGTGCGGCATCTACACGCGTAGGAAAATGAACACTCTCTGGAAATGTCTGCATGCCTCCATCCTGACGTGGTTCATTCCACTTCTCTTCTTCCATATCCCTCTCATAGTCTATGCTGATGCCGAAGGGGGAGAATTGAAAACTCGTGGTCAAATTGAATCAAAAAGGCAAACTTTAAAGGACCTTCTTTGACAATTGTTTGGTGAAATACACGGTGCCGGTCCAACAGTTGAACAGCATGTCCACGGACAGTTCAACCTGCGAGCTACAGAGGGTAAACTGGATGCCGCCGAGAGTGTTGTTGAGATGATGGAAACCGGAAAGCGAGTCGAGGAACTCATCAAACAAGGGTGTAATGCTCTTGACTGGTTTGTCGCCGAGCGGTTG